GGGTTTTGTGTGGAAGGAAAGAGGGGGAGAATTTGTGCATGTATCTCATAAATTTTTCTCTCCTTCTTCCCTTTCCTTCCCCATTCCTCACCCTCTAAGAGAGCTAGCCCGCAAGCTATTTTAGTTTTTCTGGTGCATTTCAAAATCTTCAACTTTCACTGTCATCTGTAAACAAATGAATGTGCTCTCTGTTTCTGGTACCTTCATAGTCTGAAATACAGTAAAAGCTTTTATGACGGGCTGGTCAATGTGCAAATGCCCTTGCGCATTTTTAATTATAATACCAAAGGTCTTAATAAGTAAAAAGACACAACTTTTGGTATCTTAAGACTGCTTTCAGACTGCTTTCACAGTATGTCCACAAAACGCAAGTGTTTATGTGCAGAATATTTTGTTGTTTACTTACCATCTAGCTGTTTGCACACACATTACATGTACTTATACTTTCTTTGTCTGTTGTTTTCTTCTAGGAATGGTTACCGCAGCCCATGATTTGAAATCAGAATGGGTTGTTGTCAAGGGTGTGTCACGTTTTGCAGATAGCAGTGCAAATAATTTGTGGGAAACCTTTGCCAGTGTCATGGCTGCTTCTCTTGTGTCCAATATATTAAGTGATCCTTTTGTTTTTGAACAATGGCCTCACTATGGAGGTATGTATGGTAGTGTATACTAAGTTCTTTTTAACAATAATTGTTATTGTACAAGTAATTGTCTTGCAGAGATCAACCTGTGTGTAGTTTGGAGGAGGCTTTTGGCTCACAGTCACGTGATTATCAATCACCTCCGAGACCCCAGGGGTATTTAGGATTAAAAGAGATGGAGAGGTGCAAATGGAGCTACGGTTGAAAATCCAAAAAATCTTAATTGAAGCTTTCACTTAGACCCTGAGAAAAGCCTGGCGCAAGAAATACCTGCCATGAAAAAAAAATTCAACCAATCTTTCCCAGAAATGGACCTCTCGCTAGGTCAATGACATTTATGTATTTCTCTGTAGTTATCCATTCTCCAATGGTGGAAAACACGGTGTCTGGTGGAAAACAAGGGGTCTGATGGAAAACATGGAGTCTAATTGCAAAACAGGGGGGGTCTAAGTGAAAAACATGGGGTCTAAGTGAAAAACACGGGATATAATAAAAATGACAGGTCGAAATTTTGTCAGGTTAAATTGCAATGAAAATCAATTCTGCATCTCGGCGTGAAACGCGTTTCTCAAACATTCCGTGAGAAAGAAAACCATTCAAAAGCCAACGAGCCGTGCAGTGGTTTTCTTTTGCATGGGTCGTCTATTTTATTTTTCGCAGTAACTTGCGTGGATTTTTTTTAGCTTTATAAAAGCAATATTAAAATATTAAAGACTGTTTTGCTTTGTATCTTTAACCATGAAAAGCAACAGTTGCCGTATTTGCTCAATTAAAAGCTGGTTACCTTTAAGTTAGGCTCGATTTCCAGCCGTTTTTTGAGCCCGCGTTCCTTTCCCCACACCTATGTTGGGAGGAGGATAAACAACCGCACTCCCAAAATGGCTGGAAATCAAGTCAACCTATAAGTTGGACCTTAAGAAATGGCAACAAAAATTACCTTAGAATGTAAGGAATAAACAAATAAAATGTGGCTGGCCCAGCCGGGCCAAATTTGAAACAAAAGCTAAGGGGGTTTAAAGGGCTGTTAATCGAGAAAATACAGTAACCTTCTTGAAATGCCAGTTCTGAAATAAATTCTGGTGTTCTTTCAAATACAACAGAAGTCGGCGCAGTACTGTAGTTGCTTGCATTAATTTCAGCGCGAATAATCTGCACTCTCACGAATGGGGATTTAGTTTTTAGTGTCTCCTTACACATGGGCTTACAAAAAAAATGTTGTTCTAATGAAATCAAAATGTTATTGCCTTTACATCAACTATTGACTGGGACCTCATTAGCGATTTTATAAATGATCAGACTCCAGGTTTATAATTACTTCTGTGGTATTGTACATTAGGGACCGGTCATTATTTATTGCCTGGGGGGTGTGGAACAAGTGTGTGAATGCATGCGTATGGAATGTGCATGGAATGTGTGTGAGTAACGCAAATCAGTTTCATAACATGGGTGTGTAGCATTTTATCCATTAGTCGAATAAATAGACTCGTCGAGTAAAGGTCCTCTGTTGAAAACTACAGAGGAGGGGGCGGAGGATTTTGGAGGGGATAATTGGATTTTTAGGATGACAGAAAGGGGAATCAGCCATAACTGAGAGCCCAAAAGGGGATCACTAAATGTCACATACCCATACAGACTTGGTGGACAGCTATTTGGCACTCTAAAAGATAACATTGCAGTTTCCAAACACTTGGGATGGTTAGTTGCTGGTATGTGAACTGACATCAGTCACAGGGTTTTCAGTAAAATGGCGGAATTCTACCGGCTTGAAATTCGAATGTAGCCACCTGTTCTGGTCATTAAAATTTGTACACATATAACAATAAAATAAGACTCGCAGACTGAGACGTTTGAAGAAGAAGATTAGTATTTTAATTAAAAAGGTGAAACAGTGCTACTTGCTACATCTAATTTTATGATCATAAACAACTCATTTCCTGTAACACTTTGCTCCCCAAAATGCATGAAATCGCATCTTTGGCAACCTACAATTTCAAACTCTCCAGGAGACCATACCCCTGGACCCCTTACGCTGGCTTGCCCCTACGGGCGAATTGGGCCTCGCTTTAATTTATGCTGCCTGTTATGTTTATTCCACGCTTGTGAAAACTTCTATTAAGAACCCTGATCAGATATCGTGAATCGAAGACATGGATCAAGAGACTGAACCATGGCGGCTTCGTTTAAGTCAGCATCATGGTTCGAAATACTACTGTCACATGACCGTTAAAAGCACTAAATATACACGTCGAAAGGTGAATATGTGTCCAAAGACATTGGGGAATCACAAAATTTATTAATAGCTATGAGGGGAGTATTTCAATGAAATAACATTATTTTAAAGGTGGGATCAGTTAAATGTTACTGTCTTAAGCCGAAAATCCTCGGCCACCCTCCGCCCCCCGGTCCCTTAGTCGCCCTGAACGCTCAGGTCTACAGTCGAAAGTGATTATTTGTATAGAAAGGCTTTTTCATGGTTAAAGGTACTAAGCAAAAGAGTCTTTATTATTAAATTATTTCCTTTTCAAACATATAAAAAATCCACGCAAGTTACTGCAAAAAATAAAATAGATGCCCCATGCATGGCACATTGGCTCTTGAATGGTTTTCTTTCTCACAAAACATTTAATTTGCTTTTTTGATCGACAAACCCCTTTCACACTAAAATTGTGAATTGATTTTTATTGCAATGTAAAATAACAAAATTTCAACTTCTCATTTCAGTGACGAAAATTCATATTTTGGTGAAAAAATGGTTCCCCGTGTTTTCCACTTAGACCTGTGTTTACCACCAGACCCCGTGTTTTCGTCATCCCATACCCTGGGACCCCATGCCCCATACCCCAGGGACTCCAGCCCCACGTTTTCCATCTAGCCTACATTTGCAGTTTCTGCCCTCGCAGTTTTAGTACCCCCCACTAGCATGTAGAGCAGTAATGAAATAGTGGTAGTATCTGTTAGTAAGCGAATCAATTCCAATTCGCAGTCAATTTTTCGGTAAGTTGAGCTAAGACTCTCCGATATTACCTGCCCGTTGATTTTAGCATGATCAAGCAATTTCACTTCTAGAACAAATTTAAAACGATTCTAAAGATCCAGAAGATGGTTTTTGGGAGGAAATCAACTCAGAAGGTATCATAGGTAATTGAGAATTCAAAGTAGTTTTCTGAATTATCTCAAAATTCTAGCTTAACCATCATATGACTGTGTTGCTTTGCACATATTTGAGATATTAACACATGTTGTTCAACTGCAACTATATACCCTTCCGATAGCCAGTTTTACGTTTGCAGTCCCGTTTATTCAGATCGCGTATTTGTATTGAGTAATCTTACATGCCGTAGAGCTCATGTCACTGGGTGACTTTGCAAGAATCAAAATGTAAATGTAAATGATAGTAGCTTATATAGTTTTGCCGCATTTTTGTTGAGGACATGCAACTTGACTCATAATATGCATAGAGAGGAGGTTGCTATCGTGACTAATGCAAAACTTCTGTTTAGGTCTCGGAAAAAATCATGACTGTCACAGCAAATTCCAAATGATTTGCTCAACTTCTGTTTTGCAGTTGAGATAGATTTCCTCATTTAACAAGACAAATGGCTTGTGTCAGCATCAAATTCGAACAGCAGGGTGGTTTGACATACTTTTGTTTCTCCTTTTTTCCTCAATTCTATTGATTGAAATTTGTTGTAAAAGAAACAGCTATTTCTTTATGGGGCATCAATATGTGGAATGAACGCACTCTCATGATTGCCCTTTCTTTGACTATCAGAAGTGGTTCACTGAAGCAGTTTTAACAGGTTAATTTAACAAGGTTTTCTCCTATGTAGATACATCAACAGGGGAAGGCAGTTCACAAAGCTGTTCAAAGAGAGGGTTGTCATACTTGAGTGATCATCCAAGTGCTAAACGAAGCAGGATTGCAGGTACTATTTTTAGGGACAATAGTTCTGGCTTGAACATGTTAACTGTGAAGCATGCTGGGACTTTGTCACAGGCTTAGTAAAATGCTGTGATCTGGTTGTTGCCATGGAAATTAATACAGCATTCTGATTTGAAACTTACTTGATGGGCAGCTACCTCAAATATATCAAATACCATCTAATTTGTGAAGCAGGGAGACCCCAATCCAGGCTACTTTTTTCATTTCTCTGCCTACTTCAAAAATAAGTGACAGCCCTGAATTAAGGAGCATTTTAACATACACATAGCGTGCCCGCTAGTCCTGTCTAATTCCTATTGAGCAATCGTGAATGAAATATCTTTGTACGCACGGCCATGCGTATATCACGTGATGCGTGCAGTTTCAATTTTGCTGCAAAATTAATGTTGAGTTTTGTTTAGTGGAAGTTCCTTTTGTCTACGTTTTGGCAATGTGAAGATTATTCTGAACAATCCAAACTCTACTTCGAGCCTTTGACTTTTGCCAAGTTAAGATGTTTACATTTTTTTTGAGTAATTTTGACTTTGTTTGTCTACATTTTCATTGAGTAATTTTGATTTTGTTTGCCTACATTTTCATTGTATTAAATTTGAAGAAGCGAATTTTTCATTGAAAATGTTAGAAACCACGTTAAACGTTTTCTTTCAACTGTTGCTCAACTGATTGTGGCGTGTTAGGATCCTAATGACCTTTGTTTTCCTTCACCATGCATTGTGAGAACTTTGTAGTCAA